CTCTAAGGCTGGAAGAGCAATCGCTGTTAGCCTTGTACATGAGGGTCCAGCTCCACTGTTCTTTTATCTAGTTCTTTTTGCTAGCTTGGTTGGAGGTCCAAATGCAGTTTACCCTACTCTAAAGGATATACAGATGCTGACCTTCAGGAAAAAATGAAACGGGTAATAGTTCACTCACTAAATAATTTATGTTTAATTGTACATATTACTTAAGGAAAATATTAATTGTAATTAATACTGTGTGACATTTTTCTAATATATTTTTCAAAGTAAACTACCATTATGTTGTCCCTATTTATTTTGTCTGTTTGTTGTTATGTTAGACTTTAAAAGGTCTCTGAAAGTTCTACCCTGGAGGAGCTTCCAAGAGCCAGAGATCCTCTTTTAGACTACTTGACTAGTTTAGGTTGCGTAAGACCCTTAAGAGCACAATCTGCTTATATTTCATGTGGTTTGCCAGGTTCAAGGCCCCTTCCAGAGGTTAATTCTTTCTAATATTTCCTTAAATACTTGGTACTTAGTTCATTAGTAAGAGAGCTCTATTAACTTTTTACAGGTTTGCAGAAGGTCTAAAGACACTTGGAGTTTTGGATGCTGTCAAACAACATCCAAACCGTTTTCGCTCTTTGTTGTATCTTTAACCACAGCAATTACTTGCTGACATGATGGATGACCTTTTTACACTTCAGCATGTTTCCAAAGGAAGTAACAGGAGGAAAATAGAAAATACAGTTATTCCTTTGTGGAGATATTATTTGTAGGATGCAGAAGGTATTTAACACAGTTCTTCTTCATCTATATGTTATATTATCAAGCAGGGGTGTCAGACTGGTTTTGATTTTGAGCCACTTGAATCATGAATATCCTCGAAGGGGCAGTTTTGCCAGATTATTTTAATAAAACCCATTAAACTGTTTGAAAATATTACATAAATAGCTGTGTCTGCATTCGATGATGGTAGCAAGCTACATTGTAGCCACAGCTGCCCTGGGGCTCACTGACAGAAGCGGGGCTGTTGTACACTGGCGCCACCGGGCCCTCTGACCACCATCAGTAGAGAATGCAGGTGAAGTGTCTTGCCCAAGGACACAACGACACTGACAATCAGAGCTGGGGCTTGAACCGTAAATCCTTCGATTTGAGGGCAAACTCCTACATCCGACGCCACTGTCGCCCTTTTATTTGGTTTATCTGTGGAAGGTGGGGAAGCATCTGAGGTAGCCATAGAATCTGAACGGGGTTTAGAACGCTTTGATCCAGTTGAACTTTCAGAGTTAGCAAAACTATTCTTTTCAACTAAGCCTTCAACACTGGAAATAATCTAAATCTAGATAAGTAATTTTTTCTTAAAATAAGTGCGTTTTGTCTTGAATTGAGAAGGTAAAAGAGAGATTTTGCCAATAGAACAACAATTTTCATTTAAAATCAGAAAATGCAATGGCATTTTCTGATTTCAAGTGCATTTTATCTAAATATCTTATTTTAAGAGTAGGCCCCTGTAACAGGGACATCAATTTTCGACTTGATGTCCCTGTTAAAGGGATATTTACCAAAGGCTTTTAAGGTTGCTGTCAGTAAACCTTTACTTAAGAAACCATCGCTTGACCTCAGATGACTTGGTCAGTTATAGACCTATATACACTAAGGCCTAACAACGCTCAGCTGTAGAGGTGGTCAGCAGCACCAAATTCCTTGGGGTGCACATCAGACAACCTCACCTGGACTATGAACACCTGCTCACTGGTCAAAAGGGCACAGAAGCTCTTCAACTTTCTCTGTTCCCATGCATAGAGATGTCTATATCTACAGTTGATTTATTAAAAATGCTTTTCAGTAAAAGTCAACAGCAATAACTCCAATAACAAACGATTATTTTATTCAAAATGTATTTATTAAAAATGCTTAAAAATTCCTGTAATGAATGAATAGCACAATGAAAGAAATAATGTCTCATCTAAACATCCCTCACTTAACAATAAAAGCTAACAATAACTCTCAACTCCCAATAACAGATGATACTCAGCCTCAGCAATGAACAAAATAATGTCTGTTCTGTAGGCTATTGAAAAAAAATAATTAACAAATGAGCTAATTAACAAAAAATACCTCTTGTGTAACAAAAATAACTCAAAATGTACCAAAAAACAAACAAACATATCAATAGACTATCTTTACTTTCGGAGTCCAGGTGGCTTTTCAGATTCCTTGCACCTCCATTGGACACCGAGACATATGTGCCTGCTTTGCACACTGTGCACAAGGCCTCCCATTTGTCTCGACCCGGTCTGAAAGCGGGGAAACTCTTTTGTAAATCGTTGGTAAACATACATTTGTGCTTTTGCATGTTGTTGGCGTACTGACAGCCACGCTATCTATATTCTGATTAAGAACAGGGCTACCCACACTGCAAGTACATCCCGCTGCAGCCTGCGGGAAGGCGGGATTACGTCACACGCAGCGTCATGCACAGTGCCCTAGTGCCTATAAATTTAATGGTCCAATTAAGGTAATTTAAAAAATCAGGACATTTCCTCACTTTCTAAAAAAAACCCGGGACGCCCGGGACAGGACGTGAAATACGGACGTTTGGTCACCCTACTCTATGAATACAAAAATTACAATAAAGTTTGTCTAAGTTTAAGCCTTGTCATGTGCTGGTTTAAGCAGGGGAACCTTGTATGCCATGCATGAATTTAAACCATGACGTGTATTACCATTAGTAACCTTGGAAACAGTGGTCCCAGCTCCTTTCAGGTCATTAACCAGCTGCTCCCTTGTAGTTCCGGGCTGATTTCTCACCTTTGTTAGATCATTGAGACCCCACAAGGTGAGATCTTGCATGGAGCCCAGTCCAATTGGCGGTTGACAGTCATGTTTAGCTTCTTCCATTTTCTAATGATTGCTCCAACAGTGGACCTTTTTTCATCAAGCTGCTTGGCAATTTCCCCGTGGCCCTTTCCAGCCTTGTGGAGGTGTACAATTTTATCTCTAGTGCCTCTGGACAGCTTGGATTGGAGGTAAACATTTAAGGCAGACCAACAGGTCTTTGGGGGTCCAAATTCTAGCTAATAGACAGGTGTGCAAATATTTATTTGCAGCTCTATCATACAAATAAATAGTTAAAAAATCATACATTGTGATTTCTGAAGTTTTTTTGAGAGTATGTCTCTCACAGTGGACATGCACCTATGATGACAATTTTAGACCCCTCCATGATTTTTAAGTGGTAGAACCTGCAAAATAGCAGGGTGTTAAAACTTATTACCTTTACTGTAATGCACTGTAACAGTCATGATGTGATTCATAATCGAATACCTTTTCCACACGTCACACAGTTATGCAGCTCGTTTTTTCTTTTACTACGCATTTGCACCTGTCCAACACCGTAATTTTCCTTCTTGTTTCATCTGTTTATTTAACTAAGGCATGAAAGAATCAATTAATTAAACATGAAACATCCTTAGTCAGAGCAGTTTTCCAAGTAGTTTCGACCACTATTGGGCCAAGATATTAACAATAGGCTCCCCTGTTGAATGTTAT